ATATATATATAAAATAAAAAAAAATAAAATAAAAAATAAAAAAAAGTGGGAAGGGGAAAAGGAGAGTAGAAATTACACGGGCCATAAGTGGATTCTTTAGCCCAATCTACTAGCTTAATGGGCCTGTTGTTTTTCATCTGTAATCTAAAGAGGAATTAAAAAGAAAAAAGGTTCATGATATATACATCTCCTTTTTTTTGTAAGTACATCTCTTTTATTTTTTTAAAAAAATTATAAAATATTATTACTTTTTTTTATTTTTTTTATTTTACACATCCAACTTTTAATTTGCTGCGTTTTTTTTTTTCTCTTTCAATTTTCACACGCTACCAAAATAGGTGGGGTGAAGGAAAGGTAAGGGAGTGTATGTAAAAATTGAAAAAAAAAATGTGTGAAAAAAAGTACTAAATAAAATATTGTAGGTGTAAAATTAAAAAATTAAAAATATTAAAAATATTTTTAAAATTTAATTATTTTTTTTAAGAAGGAGGTGTACTTATAGAAAAAAAAAAAAAAAAAAAAAAGGAGGTGTAAGTATCAAGAACCAAAGAAAAACGATCATTGAGTAACATTAAGTTTGGAAAATAACCCAAATCCATTAAAGATTAGTAACCCTTCTGTGCAATCTCTATACATTAGAGGTGGATTTTGAAGAAGTTAAGAAGGAAAAAGGAAATAAGTACAAGAGTTAATGATGATGTACTTGATTGTGTAAAATAATTTCATATGATCATTTAATCATAATTTTTTATTTATTATAAATAATAAATTTGTTAATTTTATAATATTTTTTTATTAAATTTACACTAATAATGCATTACTGTTAAACTCGTAAGTAAATGACAGTATGTTGCTTAGTTTAAAAATTTCATCATCTCAATGTTTAGCATCTCCAGTAACGAAATTATCTCAGGTGGACTTATTCAAACAATTTTTATGATTAGAAATGGAAAAGTGAAATTCAGAGAACATTTAAAACAAAATAATATTATTTGAATTATTTTTAATTAAGAGTTACACTATTTATACAAAACTATATTTTCCCTTTATATCTTCGTCAGAACAACTATTTGATTTCATTTGTATTCCCTGTTTTGTTTTCACCTTTCTTTGTCGTATCATTTTTCCTACAAAATTTATGGGAAAAATATAATTTTTTCTAATATATATTCTATTAATATTTTTTTTACAATTTGTTAAAAATGAATACAATTTACTCTCAGATTGTGTTTGAATGAGAATTTTAAATAGAGTAATTCTTTTTTTTATAAAGAATTTTAAATGCTTTGGAATGAATTTTTTTTTATGAATTTACAAAAAAAATTGAAATTCTAGCATTTATGAAATTTTTTAAAATAGTAAAATTTTAAATTTCTCCAAAAAAGTTAGAATTTGAAATTTTTCATATTTTTGTTTCTTATTTTACCTATGTATCTTTTATCTCTCTCCTATCTCTTAATTATTGAATATTTAAAAATATTTTTTAAAATTATTAAATATTATCTAATATTAATTTTTAAACTTTTAAGTATTTAAAAATTGACTAATATTTATTTTTATAAAGTTTAATCTTAAAATTTCAAATATATATATATATATATATATGAGGATTCAAACGACATTGATGTAATTTTTACTAAGTATTACACCACTCCATAACTTTATATTAAATATGAATTTTGTAAATCCAATCGTTAGATTGAAAGTTCTTTACTCTTAGATTATATATACAAGATTTTATACTAATCCAAGATGATTTGATACTTCTTTCTTATAGTTCATATTTTATTATATTTTGAAATATATATATATATACACACCAATTTTTACCTATGCTAGAAATTAAATTATCATATCTAAAGTAAGAATTTAAAATTTAAGATATTTGAATTGATTTATCTAAATAAAATATTCAAAGAACGATGGAAATTAAAATTAAAATAATTTAAATTTCAAGTACTTTAAATTTCAAAGATTTCAAAATTTTTAAATTTCTAAAATTCCTTTTGGCTGTTGTTTCCTGATTGTTTTTCTATTATTCACAATCATGCTTCTCCACTGTATCAAAGACAATTCATAGATTTAACATTTCATAAACAAGTATATTTTCAATGAATATATCAGACAGTCTTTCTCAATGCATGAAGCACAACGGCTTCATGGCAAAGCAGGAGCACTTCCATGAATAAATAAACCCTTATTTCTCAGAGCATCACCAAAATTTTGTTGCCGCAGTATAGCAACTCCTGCTCTTGTGATCTCAGCAATCGAATCAGGACTTTGTCTCCTTTCATATGCATGGATATATAGCAAATCTCATGAACTCACAACTTGACCAACTAATACAGTAATATCATCAAGCTTTCCACCTATTAGCAATAGAAAAAGTGAGGTCAGCCACATGCAAGGAGAAATGAGAAGTTGTTTTAGAATATTTTATGAAACACCTGTTAGCTTCATTCCAAGAATCTTCTTCCATAAGGGGGGTTCAAAACCCTGAAAAATTATTAAGAAAACACAAAAGAATAGATGGTTATTACAGTATTGTCAAAGGAATATTTTCCTGGTAAGTTAATAGTTGCAACTCTTTTAAAGAATGAGAAGTGATTTCCCTAATAACAAATTCTTATCCAAAATGAATCAAAAAATAGAAAATTATTCAAGAATGCATCATTTCTATAAAAGACATTAGGTTTAAATACTTATTTAGCCCCTATAGATTCATAAATTTTATCTTTTGATACATATAGTTGAAAATATTTCATTTTAGTTCCTATTCATACTATTTTTTTTATTTTCTTAGTCCCTATCATCTATTGCTGTAGAGATCAAAAGATAAAGTTTATGAAATTATAAGACTAAAAGAAAACAAAAATGGTACAAGAACCATAGGGACCAAATAGATATTTAAACCAAGAAATTATTTCTTGTTAAGCAAAGGAGGTCTAATTACAATCTTCTTTCCTTACCCTAGACCTGGCCTCCAACGAATAGGGAGAGTCAAAATTTGAATCCATTGCATGACTGCTTGCCAAGTTAGCTAATGCCTTTGCTAGCAATAAAATAAATTTCAAATTAGTGAAATTCATATTATCATCAAAATTTCTCAAGCTGATTAATCATGAAGACAATACCAGCCTCAGCAACATCTTTGTATCTAACAATGGTTGGAATAATTTCATGGTCAAAAACATTATCAAAAAGCCCGTCAGATCCCATGACAATGGTGTCTCCTTCTATCAACTCCACATTGCTTACCTGTTTTCCTGCAGAGGTTAGTTAAATAAAATATAACAGAAGAACCACACTTATCTCAACAGGAAAATGAGACTATCCCCTTTAGAAAGTAGTGTATTAAGTTATGACTCATTTAAGGTAACGCATATATTGGCCTTCACCCAATTCAAACCATGATTTAAAATGATAACTACGTGTGGACAATAATATAAAGAGGCTCTGTACCCCCCAAAACTAACAGTTTTACTGATATGTGGAATCAAAAGGCATATATAAGAATACAAATATTGTTCTGTAGTACAAGATTATTCAAGGGGGTACTAAGATTAACTACTCAAGACTCATTTGTTTTAATGTTGAGTAAAATTCATTTTGAACTGTTGCACATGATTGCAATGTATGTCCAAATTAATCTCGACCATAATTTTACACTGAAAATGTATTTTTCATTAGAAACTACAGGAATTGATTTTCCAACGCCAAAACAAATAGGGAATTAGTTATCTGTCTTGCCTGCTTCTTCTCCCCTCTCCTTCCACTTTCTCTTCACTGAGGCAAGTTCAGGACAAGAAAGAAGCACATGCATGACATGGAGTGAGCAATTTGGCATATGAAAAATTAAGTTTTTAAATATTTTTAGAAAACTTGTGCAGTTCAAAGAGTCAAGACAGATAGAGTGCGAAGGGAAAGGAAAGTTAAACAATAGTAGTAGCAACGATTGTTAAATGGTACCGCTGCATCAAGGTATGTTTGGCCAACCCTCTCAGAGCTTAGTTGGAATGGACAGTCAAAGTAGTGTTCTTGCGGAGAAGTGGAAAAAATTACATGACCTGGAAAAGGCACATAAAGAAATTCAAATTCCCAACATTGGTATAAGGAATTGAGTGTTCTAAGTAGGGATGGTAAATGGATGGATCCGATAATTTTTTAGGTGGATCATAATGGATCGCATAAAAAAAATTTATTAATCTATTTAAGTTTATTAAAAATTCACTTAAAAATCTAATTTATTTAAAAGAAAAAATTATCTAATCCATCAATTAACAATTTTTATTTTTGAAATATTTTATTTCTCTTTCTTTTCTTTATAAATCATTACATTCATATATAATTTTTTAAAATTCAATTTTTTTATGTCAAAATAGTCTTATAAGATCTCAATTTAATAAACTTTGGATTTTGAAAAAGTAGTGAATGAATCATTAACCATCAATAAAATTAAATAGGAATTTAATCCATTATTTACTTATAGAGTAAATTATACTTACATTCCCTATATTTTTTCAAGACTTTTAATGAATTTTGTCTTCCCATATTTATTAAAAGTCATGTGTAAATCACATGGCATAAATATGTTAACAAATTTCACGTTGTTTGTAGATTAGGAGGAACAATATAACATTCTTTCAACTTTCAAGAGGTTTCACTATAAGCTTAAAAAACATAAGAATATCGGGTGCAATCTCAAAAAAATAAAGATGTGGGTGTAATTTACTCTTATTTTTATTGTAATGTACTAGAACACTCAGTTCCTTTTGGAGAAAGAAAAGGACAGAAAACAAAATACAATGAGCAAATTTCATTACATCTTTTAGAAAAGATTATGATCAGAAATATAGCACATGATATTTACCATTACGAATGACTTTTAATCCACAGTCCCCAACATTGGCAATCTTCAGAGTCCCATTCTTCTCCAGCATAGCAATGATACTTCTTAGACAAAAAAGCAATGAGGTAATTCGGGTAGAAATAGAAACATCTAAATGCAAGTCAATGTTTGATCATATTTATCCAAATTGGCTATCCAAATAACATAGGATAAACTTACACAGTGGCTGAACCTGTAGAGGAAGTAGCAGCATGTGCCTTCCTTAAAAGAATTCGAGGATCATAGTTCACCTGTTAAATCCATCAATATTGGACATCTTTATGTTGTTAGCAAACAGCATTACATCCATAGAAGCTTTCTTATTGAAATACTGCTCAAAATAGAATGAAAAATAAAAGGTTGAAATTTGAACAAATGAATGTACTTGGAAACCAAAATAATTCTAATTTAGCAAATACTCCTCATCAGAAAGTGTGTTTAGGTTGTTGTCTCACCTCCTCATCTCCTACGAAATTGGAAGCATTAGCAAGCAATTCCCGAGGGAACAACGACGGGTCCACGTCTTCTTCAGCCCAACTGCGACGCATAACAGAAAAGCACCATTTCAGAAAGGGGTTCTGCCATAATTCAATATGAAGCATCACAGCACCATTTAAATTAATAACTAGTCATCAAAATTAAAGCTTTTAATCGTGGGGGTTCTTTCTTATTTGTTTACAAGTCTTCCACTGTGCAAGAATTATAAACTAAGAAAGTAGCATACCCGGAAACACCATCAGCAACAGCAATAACTCCTCCATTATAATTGCTCACAAAGAAAGCATCTTCCCCACCTGTGTTAACCTTTAGAGAGACCAGGACTTAGCAAACAGGACATGTTTTTGTGTCTACAATGATGTTATGGTGCCTTGGTGTGATATGTACCTTTTTTGGATGTGGAATGAGGCAAGTCCCAACACAAAATGACATCTCTGACCTACAACCTCAGCAACACAAACCAAGTCAAGAAAAACATGTTTAAGAAAGCTCCAAAAAAGCATCAAGTATCAGGAAATGAAGGGTAGCTCACCGAATTACAGGGTTAAGCTCTGAAGAGGAAGAAGAGAACACCACTCTCTTCCTCCTCTTAGCGGTTTCATCAATAGCAGATATGGAATGAATTAGTGGTTGAAATTGAAAATGAGAAATCATTGCAGCCCTCAGTATGGGAATTGCCATTGTTTCCCGCTTCAACTTCAACACACACTCTCCTTCACACACTGCAATGAAAATGGACGTTTATCATGATTTTCCTTTTTCCATAATGAACATAGAAATAATAATATTACATTCACCCATATGCCAGCAAGCACCAGTGGTCTAGTGGTAGAATAGTACCCTGCCACGGTACAGACCCGGGTTCGATTCCCGGCTGGTGCAATATTAGTAAGCTTTTGCTTTTTCTTTTTATCTCCAAAATATATATTTTTTTATTTCTGAAGATCTTTCAAAATTTCAGCATTTCTTTCTTCTGTGCGTTCCCTGTATTCATTCACTCTTCACTTTCAAGTCGCAAAATGAACGGTGGCACCATTGATTTTATCGAAGGTAAATGAATTCAGTCGTTATTTTCTCAGGAAAGATGTGTTCAACCGTTTTCGTGAATTGATTACCTCTTCGTTTCGGTGTGCGTAGATAATGGAAACGGAAGCGACTCGGACGCGAATTCCGATGACGCGCCGGAATACTACCAGCCGATATCCGCCGTGGACGACGACGGAAGCTCCGACGGAGAGCACGGCGGTGAGTTCGGGCAGCTGCCGAACGGGTTTGCTGTGCACGGCGTAGCGGAGAACGGGATCTCGTCTCTGGATCTGAGCGACGGCGTAGAGAAGAGCAGCAGCGACGAAGAGGAAGAGGAATTGGACGAGAGGAGCGAAGAGGAAATCGAGAGGGCGCTGAGAGAAGAGGAGAACCGGAGAAACGCGCCGCTCACGGCGGAGAACGCGACGAGAGTGATGGAGGCGATGCGCGGAGTGTCCTTCGTCGGCGTGGTTCCCGATTGGGCAGCACGAGATCCCCATGATCAATGGATCAATCAGCTTCACAGATTGCGAGGATCCTCAAACACTTGAAGGAAAAATTAGTTACTCGATTTCGTGCAATGTTATATTCGTTCCAGTTTTGAACATTTTTCTTGAATGTTGTTTTTTTTTTAACGAAAATTGGATTCCAAATAAAATTTGTTTGAAAATTTTGATCTTATAAACAATTCTGTGTTGAAATTTGATGTCAAAGGTACTTGAAAATTGTTTTTACTAGAGTCATGTTTGGGTGTATTACTATTTTCTCATTGGAAATGCCTATTGAAGATTTTTCAAAGTTCAAACAAATTAATGTATGAACCGCGGGGTCTTGGTTTCTAAATTGATAAGCCTTATAAATTCTACCGGCAATGACACGTGTATGGGAAATATTGTTTCTTTCAATTATTGTGAAGCCTACGTAAAGGCTAAAAGTAAAAGCCATGTTTGGTACAGAGAAGCATAGAGCTTAGTTAACTCCCAAGACACATTTTATAAGATTACAAAAAAAGAAAATTCTAGGGCCGAGTACAATCACTTATCTAACTCGTACATAATAATGTCAATTCGTGAATTATAATTTAACTTCAAAACTGGCACTAAAATCTGAATGTAGCTGCTCCTTGCTCTGAAAAAATGTTATATATTAGTTTTGTTCATTGGAAGCCGCAGAAGGAGCAAGGTACATTTTGCCTTCTTAAGCACCAATATTTTCAACATCAGCGCCTTTGTCCATTCTTTTGATGATTCCAGCAATAACCTGAAATAAGTCCAGAAAAACAAAATTTAGCGGATTTAAGACACTAGAGGACTCAACTTACAATGCTAAGAAGCATATGGTTTATATAAATTTACTACCTTTCCGGGACCCAGTTCATAGCTTTTCTTCAGACCCCTGTTTTGAAGAGTCTTCACTGTTGTTTCCCATTGAACCGGTGAAGTAGCCTGCAAATTGCATAGCAGATGCAATTATTTTCCATTCATGTCTGTGTTGGAAAGAAACAAGTATCAGCAGCATACCTGACGTGCCAATATCTTCTTTATTGTGTCGGGATCTGTATGTGGCTGTGCATTCACATTGGAGATGACTGGTATTCTTGGGGTTCTGATTTCTGTTGCTGCCAATGCTGCTTCCAATCTTGACACAGCTGGTTCCATAAAGCTAGTGTGGAAAGCACCAGCAACAGCTAGGCGCACCTGCCACACAGAGGCAAAGACATTATTTCTTTGAGGGAAGGTGGCATTCCAAGGAGAAAGACTAGGGGCAAAGACATACTGTCATTCGAGCCTTGAAAGATTTTGCCTTGGATTCCAGCACTTCTACTCCTTTTAATCCTCCAGAGACAGCATAGTTTCCCTACCAAAACACAACACATTGCAAAGAAGCTACTGGTTATAAAATCTAGAAACAAATTTTTGCTAGGCTTGTAAAAAGGTAGATTCACAAGAAACTTACTGGACACAGGAAATTTGCAATCTGAACCTTCTCAGCTTCAGGAACTTCCTGATTGGCTGCATCACACAATTGTTGGACCTTCTCTGAATCCAGTCCTATCACACTAACCATGGCACTTTTAGCAGCATCAGCAGCATCCTGGAAAAAGAACAAAATTTATTACAAATTAGTATTCAAACAAGTTGATGTAAGTCAAACAAAAAAAAAAAAAAAAAA